GTTTATACAGCACATTTCACAGAGTACCTATATTTTTCATTCACCTCTAACGCAGTGATGTCAGAATCGAGACGCCAACAATCGAGGCCCCAACCATGTTTTTAGTGGAAGGGGGAAACCGGAGCACCTGGAGGAAACCTATGCAGATATGGGAAGAACATGAAACTCCATACAGAATGACCCTGTCTGGCGTCTCTATGAAATCATGATGCAAACACCATTAAGAGATTCTTTATTCGTCCCACAGCGGGGAAATTTCAGTGTTGTATTGCAAGTAACAGAACAGTAGGAAAGAGCACACCGCACAAGATAAATGAACACAGCTCTATACTAAACTCTATACTCAATATCTTAACATAAAATAAAATCTCTATCTATAGCATAATAAGGAAGGCGTCTATAATCTATAATAAGAAGCAAGACTTTGGTACAACATTTCTGACTTTAACATAATAAATAAAATATAAATCCTGTATATTCTAGTGCCAAATACACTTAATATACATATTATACTTGTATGGATGCATCTGTAATACACTCTAGTGCAAGAATATTGAAGTTCTGATGATTCAAATTTTCACAATGATGATACTGTGCATGTTAGCAGCCTGAGGCTCTGTGCTAAAACTGACTAGTTTGATTAATAAAGTGACAATGGACACATGTGGTCCCATATTGCACATTATTGCACACATGCATGTTATGTGAACTCAGCTCCAGTATTTCAATCTTATTACTCTAAATATTTACATTATGATTTCAGGTCAGGTCACCACAATACGGGTATGTAAACAGTGCTCTTCCCTACCGGCTTCCCTTAATTAGCCCCAGCGTGCAGCATTGGTCCCAGCGGAAGTGTGGCTGTGTTGTTGCGAGGCCCCCCGCTGGAGGAGCCTGCATCAGGGCACACCTCAGTGGGTCCACTCCGCCTGACTCACCCAGCTCTGCTTTTGTGCAGCTCATCGCTCTGACACGCTGTTGATCTCTCTGCAACAAATGACGAACTCCTGCTATGGCTAAAAACTAAAAACTGGGACTGAGGAATAAGAACACATAGGATTTATACTTGCTTCTTTATCATGATTAAGTCAGATTTTATGATATGTTTTTATTAATTTATTAGAGTTTAGTATGGAGTTATTGAGTATAGAGCTGTGTTTATTTACTTTGTGCTGTGTGCTCATTTCTACTGTTCTGTAACTGGTGATGCAACACTGAAATTTCCCCACTGTGGGACAAATAAAGGATGTCTTAATCTTCATCCTAAACATGCTGATCCCATGTGATACATACATTATTTTTGCATGTAAGAGTCGAAGTCGTAACCATTTATCACAGTCTAGTAGATCTTCATTCTCTGCTCCACTTGGCGCAGTCGTCCTTGCGCTGTGCCAACCTGTGGTGTGGTGTCACTGATGGATTATAGACGTAATCATGCGTGTCATAGTGGTCTTGCTCTAGTTTGGGTTTGTCTCTATAGCAAGAGCCAAATGTCTGCATTTCAGAGTTGATTTTTGTCACAGTTATAGATAAGAGAATGCTCAATTGCTCTCATACTCATTTGATATTAGGAGATCCTTAATGTGTCCCACAGAGGGGAAATAGAGGGAGATAAGTGAATATCAGGTACAGCACAACTCTAATGAAATAAAATCTCTATCTTTAGCTTAAAAAAGAAACAACATAGAAAACAAATATACTCATATTTATACTAATATTATAAATCTAGTGAAAATAATCTTTTCACTAGATTATATTTATTAATCTAGTTAAAATAAATATCAAAAAAATATAAATCTAAAACAAACTACTGCACATATTGGTATATGTGCAATAATGTCAGTATATTGCACATTATGGCACAGACGCATGGCTTGTGAGATCAGGTCGACAGCGTTAATCAGTCCTCATTGTTCATTGTACTGTCTGACAGCATCAGGAAGGAAATACCTGTGAAACCTCTAATTCACACAGTGAGGGTGGATAAGTTTGTCACTGAAGCTGCTCTCCAGATCCGTCAGAGTGTCCTGCAGGGGGCGACAGTCATGGTCTAGCGTAGATGTTAGTTTGTCCAGGGCTCTCCTGTCCCCAATACGGTTCATACTGTGTTGCTTTCGTGTTACTAAAATACTTGAACTTTTTTCACATATTTTCTCAATCTCCTTGCGTCTCGAATCGTGCAGTAGGGTTAGCTCACCCTGACAGTATATTTGCGACTCAAAAATCCTCTGTCCTCTTGGTAATTTCCATGGCTGAAGCAAAAGGGGGTCGTTCTGTTCAAGAGGAGACTTGGTGTTCCCAGTCATAACGGCACATGGTCCTTACGCAGGTCAGCACATAAAGCCTCTGGGCTGGTGAAAAGCACGTAATTCCTCTTTTATTCTGCTTTGCTACAGTTGTTTGAATTAGAGCGTCAGTCTGTGTGGCTCGGCTGCAGTCACATTGTGCGGCCTGCTTTTGTCCAGATGATTACTAAAAGTGGCTGTGTGAGCAACTCCACATACTCCATGACACGCTGTTTGTTTAATGTGTATCTACAAAGCAAGTATATTTGGAACTTAGTGGCATTATTCATTACTTTCATACAGTCATAGCCTCTGTGACTAGGAACCAAGGCTGATAGCTGTCCCTTCTTGAAAAAAAAATGGCAAGAAGGATTAGCTGAGAACTTAAATTCAGGTCAAATGTAGCCGAGAAAAAGTGGGGCAGGGACTGGTAAAAGGGTCAAGTGATTGTTTCTTGGGATCTGAAATGTGGAGGCTGATAACAGGTCATGATAGTGGTTGGGTAGTGATTGCATTAACGTCAGAGAAGATAACAAGAGACACTTAGGGTTAAAAAATGATAGAAAAACGTGTCTGATCAACCATGAGCGCTGAGGCAAGGCAAGTTTATTTGTGTAGTTTATGCACAAAGCAACTCACAGTGCTTAAGAAAACAAGAAAAGAAACATTGAAATCACACAAGGCATAAATAATCACAGTGCATTAAAAAGAGTGAAGAAATATAGGCCTCAAACTTTTTACTACACAATGGCCTCTAAACCTTTTTTGATGTATACTGGGCCTCTTACATTTTAACATATTCATGTACAGCCTTAAAACAGCAGGAGGTCCTACAGTAGTTGTGGAGTGACCAACAACAGATCAGAGAATCAAACCGTTCGAACACAAGAAATGCAATAATAACAAACACATCAAAGCCATTGGTCCATCGGGGGAAGATGTCCACTGTCCATAAATGTTAATAAATGTCCCGGATCATCACTCTGTTCTGAGACCCTCCTGCATCGGCAAGGAACAACTCAAAAACCCAGTGGGAGAAACCTCGAAAAATTTTGATGTATACTGGGTTTAGAGACCCTATTATTATCTATGCAACCATATGACATTCTTTCAGTTGTTTGAATATACAGTAGGTCAATGAATCAAACAGCCAATGTTGTCCTATAGTTTGTTTTCAACCCTAATACCCTGTAGGCCTACAAATATGAATCTATATATGTAGGAATTCGGTCGTGTGTCTTGGTTGCCTGATGCCTGGTCACTGCTTGTGGACAAGTGTGTAGCAGTTGGATCAAGCTCCTGTTTTATCTTGGAAAGTTATGTGTGTGGCACTGGCATCCCAACAATGTGAGGGCTCAAAATGCTGACCCGTGATGAACTCATGGACACCTTTTCATTAAGCAAAGCAGTTTAGAGAAAGTTCAGTTCTCTATCTTTTGCTGCTCTGTATAAAACACGTGGTGAGTGTAAAATATGGATCTTTTTGTCCATACATCAGAGGTGGTCCAGGGGCCGACCTCCCAGACTGTAAACAAATGTTGACTCGATTCAGGCTGTTCCAAGCTTTAAAATTAGCTATAAAACAGCTGGAGTTGGCTGAATGACAAATGATCATCTCACGAGCCACCTTAGCGCCAAAGACAGAATTTCGTAACACAATTAAAGAAAATATTCAGTTTATACAAATAATATCAACAGCTGAATTCTAGAGCTCCTAAATTTTATAACGAGGTACAGTGTGCCTCTATTGGCTGAGCTGAAGTTGGCTGTCTGACACTGTGAACTTATGTTTATGATCTCAAAGACAGCAACACAGAGACCTGCATAACATGACACATGTCTGCAATATGTCAAAACCAAAATAAACCATCACTGGTCTATTTGATTAAATTGTTACCTTGATCCCAATGAAATATTATTTGTACAGAGTATGGCCTGAAGCTCTTGTGGTTACACTGCATGAATTGTGCTTCATGAACAAATTTGATTAATTCATTGTAAGTGCACAAGTGTGTCTATTAAGTGCACTGTCAGCAAAATGCAGGGAACATTCACGCACGCATCATTGTCTAATCCACTTTATCATATTCACTTCCTTCTTGTTTCATTTGTTATTCTGACCTCGACATTATTGAGCCTTCATCCGTCTGAATGTGCACGTGGTCCTTATCAGAAGTGCCTCAGATATCACAATACTTCCCTGAATATAGAAGATATCATAATACTTCCATGAATATAGAAGATATCATAATACTTCCGTGAATATAGCTGATAGCATAATACTTCCATGAATATAGCAGATATCATAATACTTCCATTCGTGTAGAATTATTAGAATAGTTCTATGAGTGTAGCAGATATTAGAAAAGTTCCATGGGTGTAGCAGGGCAATCTCCTCAGGCCCCGCCTCTCTCTGGAGCCTGTGCAAAAGGCAGCAGCCTTTCACTGCGCGCTCAGAACAAGCGCACGGAGCTGAGTGACCCGCACCGCTCATCCCCTCATCCTGCTCATTCTGGGACTATCTGAGGATTTACCACTTTTATGAGGAGGACATTACTTTTACTGCGTGGCCTGCCTGTTATAGACACTTATCCCCATGTGGAGAGGCAGGAGTAGGCGAGGACCGCGGTGGATGCGGTGCTAATAGCCTGAAGCCAGGGCTCCAGTTCAGGGCAGCGGGATGGTGCAGAACGTGATTCTGGTCTTCTTCCGCAGGAGGCTGAGCCAGCGCCCGGGAGTGGAGGAGCTGGAGAGCCGAAACATCCTCAAGCGTAAGTCCAGGCACACGCACATCTGTGTAGTTTGAAATCTGGTGAGAAGTCTTTAAAAGTTGTTTTTGCAGACAATCCCGCTTAGAAAAAATATATATATATATTTGTAATATGAGCATAGGCACTCACAAAAAAGTCACAGTATCTCGTATACTTCCTTACTGACGTGATGACAGAGACAATAAAAGACAGACTTTACGCGTACGTGAGACTTTTCCGAGCGCACACCCCGCTGTACAGACGCAGACGCAAGTCCATCCACAGACTCACAGGGGCCTATAAGCTCTCTAAGGCTCATATGATAAACTAATAAAGTTTCAAGGAGCGTCTGGGGGTGTAATAAAAACTTAATTATTGAGACACTGACCTACTGTAAAATGAGCTCATGTCGCTCCACGTCTGCTCTGAGGTACACGTCCACAGAGGATGGGCTGAAACACTAATCACCTGTAGATCTGATTGGACTGACTGTGTAAGTTTATTTACAGAAAAAAAAAAAATCCATTTGAATATGTGTCAAAAAAGTATGCCTCTAGTTACAATCATGTCACAACCATGTTTTGTTATTGGCAGTAGTTATGAAAGAATTCTCTCAAGAAGGGGTGAAACTTTAAATAAATAGATAGAATAGATAACAAATAGATAGAGCAAATTGTAAGCCTTTTGAATATTTGTCTAATGGCACAAATCTCTGTCTTTGCACTTGCACTGTTCCTATATTGTATTGCATTTTCTCTTTTCTTTATTCTTTTAAAATATGGACACATTGAATTTGAAATAAATGAATTGATATTAGTACATTCAAAACAAATAGGACAAATACAAATGATAGAAAAAAATAAAAGCAATAAAAACAAAGACACCATAACTAAGTCTGAACAATGTGTAATGTGTAAACAGAGTTGGAGCAGACTCTCATCTCTTATCTATGAAGCCGTTCGGAACATTTTCACGCCGCATGTGCTCATTATGGCGTTCATTGTGTAAACATGACAGAAATAGCGCGTGAGTGTGATTGAGCATGTGGCGTGTGAGAGGCTGTTCTGTCGGAGCTGACCGTCATGGAGGCTCCTGAGTTGGCAGCTTCTTTTTGGGGCTCCCACCTGTGGACTTGGCTCAGAGCAGCTGCATGTCTCACCACTGACCCACTGTGACAGAATCTGACCCCAAAAACAACAAATGCTCCGAAGCACAATTACCCCATGAAAGCTCCTCCGCGGCCAATCAACCACTTGAGTGCATGAGAAAATACTAGGGTTGTGTTTTGAATCTTGAACAATGCTGACTGTTATTACATGTGGACTGAGCCGTTGAAATGTATGGCTTATTAAGGCTCTGCAATCTGTGTTTTAACAGAGAGAAATGACCAAAGTGAGCAGGAGGAAAGGAGAGAAATCAAACAACGACTCAACAGAAAGGTAGGTCGCTGTGGCCATGAATGTTCCAAATAGTTCAGAACTTTTTACTTTCACAACTTATTTATGACGGCACCTCAGCTTTGATACCCGCTCTCACGTGCCGTGTTGTCTCTCTGATGGATGTGCTGTTGTTTTCTCTATAGTTGAACCAGCGGCCCACAGTAGATGAGCTGCGAGACAGAAAGATCCTCATTCGTTTTAGTGACTACGTAGAAGTGGCCAAAGCTCAGGACTACGACAGGAAAGCAGACAAGCCCTGGACCAGACTGTCTGCTGCTGATAAGGTACGCATGAGATTACCAACATGAACTATATCAATGTAATCATCAATACAATACAATACAATACCATTTATTCTTGTATAGACCTAAAGCACAGCAGTCATCCCAGAGAACCATTGAAATCACCAACACAGATCAGATAATTAGCAGTTAAGACACAATATATTTGGAACACATATGTATTGGTCCATAGGAAGACCAATGTCCATGAATGTTGAAAAATGTCCATACATGTTCTAGAATATTAAATTGTCCCAGATCTTCAGAAAGTAGCGGCTATTTAGGCTATATCCACACGAAGACAAAACGCTTATAATTTCAGAAACTTTTTCTGTAAACACGGAGTTAGCTCAGTAAATGTGTGCGTCCATATGAATGTAGTCAATACGCCTGAAAACGCTGTGAAACTATGCCAGACCTGTTGGTGGCGCTGTGACGCAATGACGGGATCAAGCCCAAACTTCCGTGGGCATGCGCGGAATTTTGTAAACAGACAACATGGCGAGTGGGCAAGCTGGTACTACATTAGTATGGACGGACGATGAGGTTGAACTGTTGCTTCGGGTCACACTGGATTACAAAACCAACAAGCTACATTGTTGTTGTCATTATTTTCTGAGTGCGGCACATGCGTGCTTTAACAAGAGGCGGGGCGATGACGCAAGCGTCTCAGATACATTGCGGAGAGGCAGTAACCACGGAGCGGCATATACGGAGTTTTGAAATCTTTCCACTCTGGGACCTACTTTCAAAAATGTTCGTTTACACCCCCCCAAAACGCCGGCCTCGTATGGACGATACACTGGATTGATAAAGTATTTTTGCGTTTAGGCCTGAGCTTGACTTCGTGTGGACAGGGCCTTAGATGTTAAGTTTTTTCGACAGCTATACTTTTCTGAACGGTGTTATATAAGTGGCCTCTAAACAACAGATGTGTCCCTAGTTGTACGAGCCTCTGTCTGAGGGACTGGCTTCTGTCCCTAATGAGCTCACCTGTGCTAACACATCATGTTGCTTTCTGCAGGCAGCCATTCGGAAGGAGCTGAATGAGTTCAAGAGCAATGAAATGGAAGTCCATTCTTCGAGCAAGCACCTGACGAGGTGAGAGGAGCCTGAATACTGTGACTATGTAGACTCTGAACTGTGGATTATGACCCAGGACTCAAACTGAGATTCTCTATGCTGTAGATTATGACCCAGGACTCAAACTGAAATCTTACACTCTCAGCTTCACACTGATCCCCTCAGATGCAGTGTTTGCACAACCTTGCACTGCTGTAATACATTTATACAGTCCACCTATTTTTAGCTTGTGTTTACGTTTTATTTGTACAGTAAATCGAGACTTCGCTGTCTCTGCATCTTCACCAAGCTTACTTCCAGGCGGTTATGCAAACTGCAGGCAATATTTTTAACAATGGCCAAAGCTTTGTCCTGAAGTGGAGCGTACTTGTTTAACACTAAAACTCCCAAACCCTCCTCAAATCAGCAGAATTCTAAATAATCCCATGAAAAACTTTGTTTGTCACATCTTTTAATCAAAGTAGTAATTATCTGTTTTCTTTACCTTGTAATATGTGGTCAAACTGGTGAATATAACTTGAAATACATCTAAAACAGTTTGTTGAAAGGCTAAATGCTAACTGCTGTCAAATAAACAGTGTGTTGCTATAGTAACAGACCTTGCTCCAAACTGAGAAGCCTCTGAACACGTCCAGGACCAGCTCCTTGATAAAAGCTGCTTTAACTGACATAGAAAGTGACCAAAAATGGCAACATTTAAAATGTACATAAACATTTATGGAACTGTCAAAATGAGCCAAAGGTAGAACCACTCACTTAAAAAAATAATAAAAAAATAAAGATTATTTTATAAATACAATGACATAGAAATAAACTAAATAAAGCTACGTCACAAAGTTTGAAGAGTAATTACACTTCCAAAACGAAAATTGACTGTGTTAAGTAATGACATTTATCACATTTGTTTTTTGTAGATTCCATCGGCCATAGAAAGGTTTCTTCTGTGAAGAGCTGCTGAATGGTGTTGTTAGTGACGACCTTGCATGGAGTCTTCCAGTGCCCACGTAAGCGGGCTCCTGATATTTGGGTCCAGACGCTTGGAGGCTATGTCTCTGAATGCAAAGAGAGCTCCACCTTTGCCTTCTCCTTTACCCACTCTACAGCTTGTCCAAGGAGCAACGAGAATCCAGGTTGAGCCAATGCCATAGAGACTTATTTTGTAAACAGACTCTTGTGAGAGATTCTATTTGATGCCATAACGGGGAAACATGCACGTGACCAACCCACTCCAGTATCAGTGTCACTCCCCCCAATGAAGACTTTGTTGTGTTTCATATCGACAGTGTAAATGTTCTCCAGCAGAAGCCTCTGTAACCGACAGAGACCCTTTGTAAGCACTATTTATTGTCCGCACAATACAGGTTTTCTATTTGTACTGACTTGTGTTTGTCTTGTTTATACCAGTAGATTCATTCAATTCAATCTATTTTTGTATAGCCCTAAATCACAACAGCAGTCATCTCAGAGGAAAACAAGAGAATAAAACAGTAGAAAAACCCAGGAAATGCAATGAAAACAAAAACACATAGGAGCCATTGGTCCATAGGGAGCGGGATGACCAAGTCCATAAATGTTGATAAATGTCCCAAATAACCTTAAACGTCCTTAAATGTCCCAGATCATCTCTGTTCTTAGACCCTCCTGCATCGACAAGAAAAGACTCAAAAAGGGGATAAAAAACAGTGGCCTTTATTGAGAAAGGGATCTGCTGTAGAACAAGGATGAGATTATTATTTAGGTGAGCGTCTTAATTAGATCTAATCAGAAAAGAAGTTTGCACGCCACATTATTTTCTCAATCGGTTTAGTGTTTGGTCAGTTACAGGGCACTTTAAATAGGCCAGTTAGATTAATATACAGTACTTTGCTGAAGTAACCAAGTCAAGCCAAATACTTGCATTCTTAGGAACATTGAGGCCATTGTAAAGTCTGAGAGTACAATCTGCTCTAAATAAAACAATGAAATGTTTATTGTCGCGGCTTATCGTCTGAGCCTGAGGTAAGTCGTGCTCTGGAGCTGGCTGCACTGACCCAGCAGATGGACTGAACTACAGGACCACTGCTGTCTGCGTGGGAATACCCCCACTTCCGGTGTCCCTCACATAAGACAGGGCCAACTCTGGCAACACGGTGGTCATATGACACTGATGCAAAAATACTTTATTGTTCCTCTGTTCAAGAAATTCAGGTGTCCAGCAACTAGAAAGGATATTTCTAATATTTCTTAATCTGGTGGTTGAGCTTTTGTCCTGTACCTTCTCTATATCTATTTGTATGGATTGGGTTCAAACTAAAACATTTTGAAAGCCTGTATTCCTTAACTTTTCAAACGCAGAGTCTTGTAAACGTTTTCCTGTCTTCATCTTATTAGAAAACAACTTTTTTCATAACTATTTGATGCGTTGGCCTAAGATTTGAGTGAGGGTGGTCCTCTCTTTTAACTTATTTTTTGTCTTAAAAGCTGATCTACAGATGTGACAGATGCCAAAAATACATAAATGTGAAAACTAGTGAGAGAACTAAACTGTTATGAGAGCGGGAAAGTGTAGATGCAGTGTATTGAATAGTTCCATTGTTAGCCGTTTTGAGTTTGGTAAAAAAAAAAAAAAAAAAAAAAATGATACCTAAAATATATGGTGGCAATTGTTTCAGAAATTATACCAGATCTCCTGTTTATCTCGTCTTGTTGAAATTCCTTAATAGAACTGTTTCTTGTTTTCGTTTGCTGAACTGACTTAGGGAAGATGCATTCAACGTCGTCATGTTTACATTTCAAAAAAGCCAGGAGCAGACTCAGGATCTAATATGCATTTCTGATGCTGTACCGAGCTGACACGTCTCCATGCAGAGCCGAACATGGATTAGACTAATATTGTTATATAATCAGTGCAAATGCTAACGTGCCCCAAACCTGAGCTCTATCATTTGTTTATGGGATATGACAGATGAGCAACATTTCTATCAAACTCGTAAAAGCAACTAGGCCCAATGCCCCAAACCTAAATAAATTGGACCAATCAGTTGAAATTATGTGTTTTTAACTTGAGAATATTTGCTATTGAAAGCAAAGTCTTTCCACCATACATTTTAGGTCACTTTTTGTTATTGTATTTTTTTTTTTTATCAAACTCAAAACTGCTAAGAATGGACACTAATGCTACTACTACAGCTACAGTAACTAGTTCCTTGCTCATCAGTTTTATAGTTTCATAGTTGCTCATCTCTCATTCCCCATAAACAAATGATAGAGCTGAGGTTTGGGGCATTGGGACTAGTTTTGGGGCATATCATGTTTCTTTATGTTCCTATGTTGGCTCAATTTTAGCCAATTAATACAAACTTGAAACAAAAAGGTCAAAACACACTATTACCATGTCATTGAATTCCATGGACACAATACTTGTAGTTCACCTATAGCAGTATTGTTGGATGCACATGCTCCCAATAATAAATTAAAAGTAATTGCCACACATACTGTACAACAAACTCCATTTAGTCATTGCTCTTGTGTTACAACTTTTTTTAACACTGAAAAACAGTAATCCAACGTGACACACTTTTCGTTTCCAAAAATCAGATTAGTGTCTTATGACGTAACATCGAGAGGTTCATACAACACATTAGTATTTTGTGAATTTAATCCTTACTTTCAAATGCCACAAACCAAACCAGGAGCAACACGTTTATGAAACACACCCATTTAGATGAGGACCTCGGCTGATTCTTCTAATGCTGAGATGTGGTCAACAAAACAGTAAAGCAATCATAGTGAAGTATAATGGCGCCATCTAGCAATAATAATAATAATAATAATAATGCATCGGTTTTATATAGCGCTTTTTTGGACACTCAAAAGACGCTTCACATGTCATTATTAATTTACTCCATACACGTTGATGATAAATACTACTGTAGCCACAGCTGCCCTGGGGCACACTGACAGAAGCGAGGCAACCAGTATGTGCCATCGGCCCCTCTGACCACCACCAACCATTCACACACACACCAAGGACACAACAGCAGTTTGGCACTTTACAGCTGCCCCAGTGTGGCATCTGGTGTTCCCAGAGGTAAAGTGTCTTGCCCAAGGAGACAACGACAGCAGACATCAGTGGGAGTCGGTGAAGAAAGTCTTGTGGTGGGGTCGAACCCACGACCTTCAGATTGAAAGGCCAAAGCTCTACCGACTGAGCCACTGTCGCCATCTAGTGTTGAAAAGGTGTATCTTTAAATGCACTGCTTTGAAACACTGAGGATTTGTAGCTCAGTTGGTAGAGCATTGGCCTTAAGGCCAGAAGGTTGTGGGTTCAATTCCCACCTCTGCACCCTCTCCATCGACTCCCACTGATGACTGCTGTCGTTGTGTCCTTGGGCAAGACACTTAACCCCACTTTGCCCAAAAGTCGCCACTGAAAGATCAAGGCTATGCTCACACTCAGAGAGCAGCCGTCCTCCTGTGGACTCACCACCTGCAGAGGGTCAGTGAGGGGCTGGTGCTATGAGACTTGGGTGACATCTCTGATTGCCACCCCCCTGACCCAGAAATGGATTAAAGGGTAGAAAATGGATGGATGGATGAAGTGTTAATCAATGTTTCTGTCCCTGTTTTCCATCATTTTACACTATACAGACTCTTGGATAGATTAAGGTACTAGGTCAAACACATGCGTTTGCCCTAGTATCTAAATTTAACTCCAGATCTGTTTGAGTTCATTCAGAGGGCCGTTTGGAAGCAGAAGATCATATCTACAAACTACTTTAGAATCACAAAGAAGCCACTGAAGCACTACTTACTGTTAAACCATTTTGAACAATTCTTCTGCAAAAGAGAAATTGAGAAGGTAAATAGACACATTAGGGTGACACACATTCTCTACGTGTTTGGAGATCCAGCTGAGAGCAGCTGTCGTCAGCTTTGATAGTCGTCCAGAGTGTAAGAGGATCTGTCTCTCTTCAAGCATGTGCAGCAGCAAAACACACACACACACACATACATACAAATAGATACACACACACATGAATGATTGTATTTTTTTTTTTGCTGATAGCGACATTAAAAAAGATTTAACATGGTTAGCCATGATTCTAAGTAAATTAATGATTAATAATTAATTCAGACCATCCAACCATTCTACACCAAGTTCTACATTCATTTATTGTCATATTCTTTGTCAGTTCAAAACTACAGTATAATAAAAATGACAAAGTAAATATATTGTCCAATTTATCCAACAGAACGATTTAACTTTTTTAAGTTCACAAAGCACCAGCCCCTCACTGATCCTCCTGCAGGTGGTGAGTCCACAGGAGGACGGCTGCAAAGCCTTGATCTTTCAGTGGGGGCTTCAGGAAAAGTTGGGCCAAGTGTCCTGCCCAAGGACACAATGGCAGCATACATCAGTGGGAGTCTGTGGAGAAGGTCTCGTGGTGGGCTCTTATTTAGGTGAAATGGAGCATGCTGCCCTCACACTCTTTTGGCACAGTCACTTTGTAGCTATGGCAAGACAGTTTGTAGTTCTGTCCCTTGTTATTGTCCCAGTGACTGAGTCCATTCACGCTGTAGCAAATAGCAAATTCCAGAATGGCTCCGGGCTCCAGGATAAACGGTGGAACAGGCAATCGGCACCTGAAAACGTCTGTTCCCGGTGCATTGGCGCCGTCTCCGCTCGACACCCAGGAGGCCGCAGCGTTGGAGTGTGTCCTCCAGTTTGTGAAGGAGTAGTGCACCGCCACACTTTTCTCAAAGGCAATGTTCAGGACAAAAATGGAGCCTGTAATTCCCTGGTCGGAGCAGGCAACCTTTTCCAGACAAACGCACTGATTGTACAAGCGTTCCATGAAGTTGGGCTGAGCTCTCTGGTCCTCCGGAAAGCAGGGTTTAAAATACGGCAACGACAGCTCCGGCGATTTCTTAAAAGCCATTTCTGAATTCATCCGTAGTCTGAACATGACGTGATCGGGGATGGAAGGGTGCTCCTGGACTTTAAACACTTTGACTTCTTCTAGTTCCAGGCCCAGGGCATCCACAAAGCGCACCTGTGTACCCCGGTGTTGGGCGCTCCTCTCTGGAGTTAAAAACGACAGAGACTTGGCTCGTTTCCTCATGATGGGATCAGCCGGAGGGTCCACAGAGGGAGCAGAGATGGCCTCTTGGGGTTTGGTGGTCGGGGGTCTGGGAGGCGGAGGTCGGATCCGCACGGGAGCTTTGGCTACTGGTTTTGGGTCATAAATGTTCCGGAGACATATGGTCCTCTTTTGACCCATGTCAGTCATAGCCACTTCTTCTACTATTGAAAAACACACACAAAAGTATGTTCATTAATATGTTCTTATGATTGTCTCCAAACTGTGTGGACTAGATTCTGGCCTTGACTTTGACTTCGAGCCCCGTCAGTTGAGTTAAAGCAGAGGTACCTAATTTTCAATCTACATACATACAGCTTTTGACCTCTGTCACATCTTGGAATCTGTTTTTGTGTCAAATAGTGACTCACAAGGCACCTTCTAATTATATATATATATATATATATTTCAGGCTTCAAACATAAAGATATTTTTAAAACAATTTTTTTTCAAAAATCAAAAACAAGTGGGACACAATCGTGAAGTGGAACGAAATTTATTGGATAGTTTAAACTTTTTTAACAAATAAAAAACTGAAAAGTGGGGCGTGCAATATTATTCGGCCCCCTTGTGCTAACACTTTGTAGCGCCACCTTTTGCTGCAATTACAGCTGCAAGTCGCTTGGGGTATGTCTCTATCAGTTTTGCACATCGAGAGACTGGAATTCTTGCCCATTCTTCCTTGCAAAACAGCTCGAGCTCAGTGAGGTTGGATGGAGAGCGTTTGTGAACAGCAGTCTTCAGCTCTTTCCACAGATTCTCGATTGGATTCAGGTCTGGACTTTGACTTGGCCATTCTAACACCTGGATACGTCTATTTGTGAACCATTCCATTGTAGATTTGGCTTTATGTTTTGGATCATTGTCCTGTTGGAAGATAAATCTCCGTCCCAGTCTCAGGTCTTTTGCAGACTCCAACAGGTTTTCTTCCAGAATGGTCCTGTATTTGGCTCCATCCATCTTCCCATCAATTTTAGCCATCTTCCCTGTCCCTGCTGAAGAAAAGCAGGCCCAAACCATGATGCTGCCACCACCATGTTTGACAGTGGGGATGGTGTGTTCAGGGTGATGAGCTGTGTTGCTTTTACACCAAACATATCGTTTTGCATTGTGGCCAAAAAGTTCGATTTTGGTTTCATCTGACCAAAGCACCTTCTTCCACATGTTTGGTGTGTCTCCCAGGTGGCTTGTGGCAAACTTTAAACGAGACTTTTTATGGATATCTTTGAGAAATGGCTTTCTTCTTGCCACTCTTCCATAAAGGCCAGATTTGTGCAGTGCACGACTGATTGTTGTCCTATGGACAGACTCTCCCACCTCAGCTGTAGTTATCTGCAGTTCATCCAGAGTGATCATGGGCCTCTTGGCTGCATCTCTGATCAGTCTTCTCCTTGTTTGAGATGAAAGTTTGGAGGGACGGCCGGGTCTTGGTAGATTTGCAGTGGTCTAATGCTCCTTCCATTTCAATAAAATTGCTTGCACAGTGCTCCTTGAGATGTTTAAAGCTTGGGAAATCTTTTTGTATCCAAATCCGGCTTTAAACTTCTCCATAACAGTATCTCGGACCTGCCTGGTGTGTTCCTTTGTCTTCATGGTTCTCTCTGCGCTTTAAACAGAACCCTGAGACTATCAAAGAGCAGGTGCATTTATACGGAGACTTGATTACACACAGGTGCATTCTATTTATCATCATCAGTCATTTAGGACAACATTGGATCATTCAAAGATCCTCACTGAACTTCTGGAGTGAGTTTGCTGCACTGAAAGTAAAGGGGCCGAATAATATTGCACGCCCCACTTTTCAGTTTTTTATTTGTTATAAAAGTTAAAATTATCCAATAAATGTTGTTCCACTTCAGGATTGTGTCCCACTTTTTGTTGATTCTTGACAACAAAATTTATTTTTATATCTTTATGTTTGAAGCCTGAAATGTGGCGAAATGTTGAAAGGTTCAAGGGGGCCGAATACTTTCGCAAGGCACTGTATATAAATAATACATATGCAAAAGACAACATGTTTTTATGTTTTATAATATGAAGCATGTTCAATGAACAATGAAAATTTGACATGACTCTCTCTATTGGGTCAAACTATTTGTTTTCAACGACAAAAAGAAAACTAATTCTCCAGTCATTGGAATAATAAAACCCATAGTCACAGTGAGCTCATATTGCAATAATCCACATTATACAGGTAATCCAAATATGAGACGTCTTCAGTAAATTAGTTTGAAGCCTTAAAAGGACTGAAAGAAACTTGCTGTCTCAAAACTTGAATCTTAAAAACAGGGCTTGGTCAGATCTCTGAAAAAAACATAACACCTGTTTAAAATGCAATATTCTAACTAGATGAAGACTTTGCTCTTTTCATTTCCACAACTCTAACATGCATCTGAAGAGAAACTACCTGTTTAAAATGTGGTGCCCATTCATACATTAAACAGACAGAAGTTACAAGAGACAACTGACCTTGCTTCTTTCCAGCCGGCTGAGTGGTTGACGCCTAAACAGTTATCTCCACGGCACCTCTGACATATAACATGAGACACTGACTGCACTGCACCAACTGAATATTTTTAGTAGGTGATCCCACTGTTCAGAGCGACCCCTGCAGCCAAAAGGTTTACGGTTTAAAGTTACACTTCTTTGTTTGATTCACACACTGCATTTGACCCAAGCCTCACTGTAGCTACAGTCTGTCAGGAGTAGGAGTCTCCAGATTAGGAGCATGATCTGGGGGAAACCAAAAGGGATGCCCACAAATAAAAAACAAAAAAGCCAAACTCCACACAGGGCTTGCTATCAAATGTTCTTACTGTAAGAGGAGAGAGACTTAGCACTGACCACAAACACAATGCACAGATTAAAAAGGCTGTGTCTTTAGTGAATTTTCTGAAATGACATCAGTGAGTTGTGTGTGTATAGCACATTTGTTATCACATTCTATTGATAACAAATGGTGGATTCATACATTCATTCATATGTATTAACTCTGTTGCATGGACCATCATGACAGTAGAGTCATGGCGACCTGTGAGCTGACAGACCAAAAGGGTGAATTAGAATGACAAGTACAATATATAGTTACAATATTCATTGTCTACATATTATCTCCATAAACCAGTCGAACAGCGGTTTGTTGTGAGCCAAAACAACTGTTAATTTATTCAATTGCTGTTATTCAATAATTAATTTAAAGTACCAATCCCCTCTTGTATTTGAGGACAGCAACTCACAGTGTGGTGTTGCAGCATGAGCAGGGGGAGGGGCTGCGGCGTCCAGAACATGTCTCAAGGACATGTTTCAGCTGAGTCACGGTCTGTTCGTGAGTACAAGAGCTGAACAGAGGAGACTCTTTGTAGAGTACAATCCCCAACATTAATCCAGAGTACAAGAAGTACTTTCACACTTTCTATTATATTATTTGTTCAAAATAAAACCTGAAACTATGGATTTGCAGTGCATGTGACAGGTGCACCACCTGCTGCTCAGAGCATCACTCTAATGCAGAGTGAGGAGAGGGAAGAGAAGAGAGGGGAGAGGGGGGGGGGTGAAGGGGCGGAGCAGCAGGGGGGGTCTGCAGTCCCTTGTAAACAGAGACATCACCTGTTTGTACTCAGACACTGCATCGTCACTCACCTCCGGCTGCAGGGACGTCCTCAATGTCATCCTGGAGCTGAAGAACCTTGTGCTGTTGTGATCATCATCATGAAGAACAGGTTCCACAGCAAAGACAACAGAATGCACCAAAGCAACGACCACCACCATCTGTGGAGAGACCAGGAGGACACAGAGGACAGGAGACGGCACCGGAGAGCACGCAAATTACTGGCATTTTTGACATCACTGTCTCGGACCTGGGGCTGGCTCAAACCCAGAGACAGACCAAGCCTCCAGCGCTCAGTGTCAGCCCTCAAACTGCTTGAGGTGTGATGAGACATCACACCTGGACATCACTAGTCTCCCTATAATACGGTCTATGCCTGCGACACGTCTGTCAGTGTACGTGTGTAGATCTGTCAGTTTCAGGAGAGGACAGCCTGTCTTCAATCTCGTCTATGTAATTTCATTTCAAATCATATATAATCATCATTATAATGATATATACAGTAAATTACCTAAAACTAAATAAAGTAGATACATGACTTCAGCAAACTCTGTGGATCCAGCATTACAGGTAGATATACTTTTTCATCATTGGAGGGAATACTGTCTTCTGCATTTGACACTGCTTTCAATGTTGCTAGAGAAACCTGTGAGGAACATGTTTCCGTTCACTTTACAATTAGGTTCATGATGAAGGTGATTTCAGAAGTCAGAAACTCAGTTTTATTTAAAGAACTGAATCTGATGACCCATTTAACGCATGTTAAATCTCCAGCATGTGTGAGATGTGCAGTGTCTGAGGTCTCCAGCTGTCTGCACTGGGAATGGTGGCAGCTGTCGTCATGGACACAGAGCAAGTATGGATTGTAATAAAGTAAAAGTACATGTACCCCACTCTACAGTATTAGACATGTTTGGTTTTAATATTATGACAATATTATTCAGCCTTGTATATGTGATTCGGTCGTTAAATAATGGTATATGAGTAACAACAAGTTATGTAAATGTATTTCAGCACTGGGAGGTGTTCAGTGACATCCCAGAGGTTTTTATCCTGGAGCCAGCGCTGATGGGACTGAAGGAAACCAGGAAGTGACACTGGCATCCCGACTGTCAGCAGCAGTGAGAGAACAATCATCATGATGATCTAATGCAGGCTTCCCAAATACTACTACTACTACTACTACTACTACTACTTAGGAGTGTGACAATATATCGATATATCGGGATCCTTTCTGACGCAATCGATAATCAATATATGCTAAGAATTGATGAAAAAAATAAATAAATATTATTTATAAAAATAAATAATTTTTAAGCTTTACTTGAAAAAAAAGTATTGATACTTAATATTGTCATGATTCTGTTTATGCTCTCTTTCCAGAGCATGTGTGAGGCAGGGGGCGTGGCCGGTCTCTGCTGGGCTGCTGACGAGACACACATCCACTCACTCCACTCACCTCAGTATATGACCCTGGTCATATCGGTAGTGCTACGCAGTGTCTTCTCTGCTTACCTGTGGTTTTTGGATTACACTACTTACCTGTTGCAATCTCCAGATCCCGTGCTCGGCCAGTCCTCGTGTCTCCGCTCTGCTCTCCGGCCGGCCTGCTCCCTGTCTCCACTGCTCCATCCTTTTTTGAGTATCTTTGTATCTTTGTTTTATTAAAGACTGTTAAACTGCTTTGGCCTCCCTCTGCTTTGGGGTTCGAAACTCACACAACAAATATATGGCTACATTACGAATTCTACAATTTCTGTAGAATGTTCATATTGATTTTATTGGATGTGAGACAGATTAAGTAAGATTTTTACTAAAATGTGCAGGTTAAAAGACATTTTTGCCTGTTCACTTTAATGTTACACATGACACTTTATCCATTTATCTTGAAATAAAGTGTAATTATTCACTTAAATGTCATAAATATAAGAAATATATATATATAAGGTATATTTTTGACCAATGTATGGATTTTTGACCAATGTATGGATAATTGCTGGATTGTCATATTGTGAGATAATCGTTATCGTGAGCTTTGTATCGCATATCGTATCGTGAGGTACCCTGAGGTTCCCACCCCTATACGACTACTACTACTACTATTACTATTACTAATACTACTACTACTTCTACAACTTCTACTACACTACTACTACTAATACTACTTCTGCCGCTACTGTTTTTCTCTTACCAACATTTACAAGGGCGAATGTCAAACACATTTACCATGATGATTTCTTGTACCTGAACTTTGAAATCGGATATCAGAGATGTCCAAATGTTTCACAATCGATTCCAAAAAATAAATTTTGTAAAGCTCTACATAATAACAACAGTCCTCACAGGAGGCTTTACGAAATTAGAGAAACAATAAAGATCTTTGATCTTAGGTGTTATGGATCCTGCATATATGAACTGCATCATTATGAAGACACTTGTAAACTTAAATAAATCCAATCCTCTCAATGCTATAATAAATACATCTGAGTGTAACGTGGCTTTCTTCATCAATCACCAGGAAACCTGAAAGCCAAGAAGAAGAGCTTTAGGGGCCGCAATTGGGTTGGGCCCTGATAGGTTCTGTAACCTGAATTTCAGTCTACTGCAAAGCGTCATGGTCGCAACTAGATGGCAGCAGAATCCAGCGCGCAAGACTTTGATAAAACTAAATCTGATCAAATCTTATTCAAATCAACACATTAAACTGGCTGTTTTTGTTCTTCTTCCCAGACTTGCTGGCTCACCTCCCGGGACTGGCGGCTCTCTCTCCCGGTCAGAGAGGTGCTGCAGTTGGGTCAGCACTCAGCCTGTGATGTTGGCCTTCTCCATCAGCAAGTGGCACTTCTAGTGGCACTATATGACTCGGAGGATTTAACAAAATTGTCGATTCGCCTAACCCTAGCCCTAGCCTGAACCGCGGTAAAGTGGGCCGCATCTTTCACCTCCGAAGTAAAACGGCCCGCATCGAGAAAAAAACAGTGCGCGTTTTGTTGACTACTTACGGTAATAGCGGAACAGCCTTTCGGAGTCACCTTTTCTCCTCGAACAGAAAGTGCGCTGAGGAGACTCGTTTTTGTGAATAAACCCATATTTGGAAAGCATTTAATTTGGTCAAATTTTCAGCAGCTGTCCATTTTTACAGTAAAGACTTGTGTGGCTTATTCCACTGGGTTCATGACCTCGATATAGCTGCCTTCAACGCTGTGCCTACAACCACACACCTTTACTGTGGAAATGTTGGGTAAAATTGAGACAAAGTACACTTTAGTGCAAAATACACAAAACTGTAAAAACATTCCCGCTTTTGATCTACTGTAACTATTTACTGTAAAAAGGTGTGTGACTCTTTCCAATGGATTTATGTCCTCATTATGTTCTACCACTGTGCCAAAGACCAGAAACTTTTACTGTAGAAATATTGAGAAATATTGATTTAAACTAGACATTTTGGTCCAAAATAAACTAAAAATGGTCAAAACATGTCACTTTTGATCTACTGTAACTTTTTGCTGTTGCGACTAATTTCACTGGATTCATGACCTCATGATTGCCCTCTACCACTGTACCAAAGACCAGAAACTTTTACTGTAGAAATATTGAGAAATATTGATTTAAACTAGCCATTTTGGTCCAAAATAGCCTAAAAATAGTCAAAACATGTCACTTTTGATCTACTGTAACTTTTTACTGTAAAAAGGTGTGCGACTAATTTCACTGGATTCATGACGTCATGATTGCCCTCTACCACTGTACCAAAGACCAGAAACATTTACTGTAGAAATATTGAGAAATATTGATTTAAAGTAGCCATTTTGGTCCAAAATTGCCTAAAAATGGTCAAAACATGTCACTTTTGGTCTACTGTAACTTTTATTGTGGAAATTTTGAGAAATAATTAGTCAAAGTACCCCCCTTGGTAAAAAATACACAAAAGGGGCTACGGCCCCTTTTGTCGACAAGCGGAGGTTCGACAAGTCGACAAGCGGAGGCTCTGCTCCGAGCTCCTTCCGTGTGACTGAGCTCCTCAACCTATCTCTAAAGGTGCTTTCAGACCAATAGCTTCAAAACGCTTTTGACGCGCAATATTTCACGCTGGGTCCGGTGTGAACGCCCCTTGGTGCTTGAAGCTCCTGACGCCGGGTGGGAGGAGCTTCTCTCGCTCCCACCTGGAGCTCGCACTGATTCCCACGGAGGAGCGCCTGTCTTTCAGTCTGCTGTGTCTGAGCCAGCTTTAGCTTGTTCTTATACTAAATAAATTACTTTAACTTCACAGCATATGTACATTGATTGTGTTACTTACTTTTTAAGAACGTTACTATTCATACAAATAATATTACAAATAACAATAATGACAATGAAAAAGCAGTAGCAGCTACATGACAGCCCTGCTGCTGCTGCTGCTGCTGCTCCTCGTCTCCAGATTGGTTGAAGCCCGGCGTCAAGCTCCAAAAGCTTTTCTCAACTTCGGCGTTAAGGGACTTTTTTACGACAAAAGAGACGCAAGCATTACGCGTGTCAAAAGCTTCAAGTGACGCGCATAATGCTCGCGTCTTTTGAAGCGCTTCAAGTGACGCCGGGCCTCTCAGCGTCACCTGACGCGCTTCACTATTCATTTTCAGTGCAAAACTGACGCTTTTCAAGTCTAAGTTGAGTCCGGGGTGAAAACACCTTAAGGGAGTGCCCAACCACTCTTTCCCACCGCTTGTATCTACAATCTCGTTCTTTCGGTCATTATCCAAAGCTCATGACCAGAGGTGATGGAGGGAACAAGAATTGACCGGTAAATCAAAAGTGGCCGCATCACTGCGCACGCTGCACCAATCCACCTGTCAATCTCACGCTCCATCCTTCCGTCACTCGTGAACAAGACCCCGAGATACTTGAACTCCTCCACGTGAGGAAATACCTCTCCACTTTGGCGGCACGGTGGCTGAGTGGATAGCACTCTCGCTTCTCAGCAAGAAGGTCCTGGGTTCGAATCCCAGTCGGAACAGTGCCTTACTGAGTGGAGTTTGCATGTTCCCCGTGTCTGCATAGGTTTCCTCTGGGTGCTCCGGTTTCCCCTGGCATTAAAAACATGCTCAATAGGTATTAATGGATAGTGAAGATTGGGGGCTGATCAGTGGGGGCGGGTCCCGGCTCGAAAGTGGCCAAAATGATGCGCTGACATGCTTGCAATACCACCCCGGGCCGATGGGGGTGGACCCGGATTAAGAATTAGCCAATGCTAACGTATAGCATTGGCAGACCTCTCGAAAAGGATGGTCCAAAAGTTGGCTCTTGGCCCAAAGCTCCGTTCCACATGTGTGTCAATGATGAGGGGGGT